TTCGTGCATTTTAATCTCTTAAATTCTCTCTATCACAATCTCAAATCTCCTCATCTCTCCCACCTTAATTGAAGCTCTTTCAAATTCTTTAGCCTCGCACATTTAACTACCTTTTTATAGCCTCCATTTAATACCTATTATTTCCATCAATTTCACTAATTGGAAACCCCTTCATAACCTCTCCATTATTATATACAAAATAACATCATTTTCATACAATAGGCTTCTTGCAAACGTGTTTCGTCTGTTCGTTGAAAGTAATTTCAAGCTTCGTTGTACATTTTCATACTTGGTAAATAAGTTTATTTCACTTGCATTTCAATGTGTGATTAATTATTGTTCATTTTGGGTGTTATTCTACATAGGCAGTACCTTAAAATTTACGTTATTTTTCTTTATTTTTAGTTTGTGCTCATATTTAAAAATGAAAAGGAATTTTTCTCTTTTTTTGGAGAAATCTGCAGCTTGAAAGTATTATTCTAAGTATTAATTCGATTTTTTTCTTTATAAAATGATGATTTATTGTCTCGTTTCTAGATAATTGTCATGTAGGCTGATTTTAAGTCAACTCTTTAACATTCAAACTTTTCAGGGAAAATTTTAAGTTAAATTTTCTATAACCCAACCCAAAATCAAAACCAAAACCATGAGAGTCATATTGCAATCTCCCAAATGTCCAGATCACCTATACAATTTTTAAGTTAATTAAATATTACTATAAATAACTATTGCCCGTTTAAGTAGTCTTTTTTTTTGGGAGAAATATTTTATTCTTTGATATATATAGTTCTAGGATAAGTGGATAACTATATTATTCATTCTTTTCAATATTCAATATGGCTACGGGTTTTTTGATGGCACACATTTTCTCTATTTTATCTCGAGAATAAAATTTATTGATTATTTTTAATGAACAATTATATATTGAACAAATTTTCAAAACAACCCCAAAAAGATTTATATTTTTCAAAATCGATCCGAATTTTTTTTTATCAAAATTGACCCACTTTTTGCCACGTGGGCTTAATGAAGTTCCTAAACAGTCGGGGTTGGCAACCCCGACTGTTTAGAATGAAGTTCCTAAACAGTCGGGGTTGGCAACCCCGACTGTTTAGGAGGGTGTTAAACCCTAATTAGAACCCTTAAACCCGAAATTTTTATGTCCTAAACAGTCGGGGTTGGCAACCCCGACTGTTTAGGAGGGTGTTAAACCCTAATTAGAACCCTTAAACCCGAAGCATTCATGTCCTAAAAAATTGGGATTGGCAACCCCGACTGTTTAGGAACGTCATTAAGCACACGTAGCAAAAAGTGGGTCGATTTTGATAAATAAAAAAACAGGTCGATTTTGAAAAATAAACGACTTTTTGGGGTTGTTTTGAAAAATTCCTCATTATATATTTGGAATCAACATCTTTTTAATTGAGAAAATGTACCATTAAAAAAATATCTCGCAGCATCTCGTGGGTATAGCACTAGTATATCTTACAAGTTAGAAACTCCAACGGTTTTCCCCCCTTTTAATGAACTTACACTATCTAGGTCATTTGGCTCTGGTTTTTTTTCTAGTCTTTTGGTAACTTTGATTTTTTTTTTTTTTTAAATATCAATCATGTGATGAACCAAAATGAACTAATCAAATGTTGTTTTCGCATTTGCTACTTCATTTTCACATAACCAAACAGGTAAACAACTCCCAAGGCAAGGATGAGCAGAGGTTGGTACCAAATTTAAGATTATACCAAAGGTGGGGGCAATCTTGACATTTTCAAAAATTTACCATGCCATCACCTTATGGATATTGTCACTTCATAACCACCAAAAGAAATGGGTGTGGGGGAGGCCAAAGTATGATCATATTTTGAAATTAACTAAGCTTTACTCCAACATCATTGCCATCATTAAAAAATTCACCTCCTCATATCACGTTTAGTACGCGTGCCAAATAAATGCTATGGATATGACAAAGAAAAGGCAGCATCTTTGGAGGCAACCCGAGATAAATTAAAATAGTTAAAATAGAAGGTTTGAAGATTAGGGCTGAAAATAGAAACAGCATGGTTGGTGGTGCTAGTTGAAATAGTACCTGTGTATTGTGTGTTTCGAGAAATTTTGTTTGTCTTTTTTTTCGTGGGTCCCGTTTGGCAAATGGTTAACAAAGAAAGATTAAAGAGAATGATTAATATACTTAGCTCATTCGATAATCTGAATGATTAAATTATTAACTCATTAAATAAGTTGTATTTTAGTCATTGTGATCAATTTTAGGGTTTGAGAATGACAATAATTTTGATTATTTTCTTTATAATCAGAATGGTTAACTCTTAATTCTTCTAAATAGGAGTATTAGTAAACCCCTATTTTTGAGGGTTAACTCATTTTAACCCCTCTAGAGGGGTTAGTTTAATCATTCTATATTTTTTATGTTTGGCAAATTATGGAGGGTTAACTCACTTTAACCATTGTATATTATTTTTGTATTTGGCGAGTTAAGAAGGAGTTAAGTCTCTTTAACCCCTCACTTAAGCCTTTGCCAAACGGTACTTAAGGGTAAATTTCATAAACCCCCAATTTTTGGATTGCTTCCCACGAAACTCCCTATGCACGACTTTGCCTTTACACTGAACTCCCATAACTTCAAAATGTAGCAAATAATCTCAAAACTTCTTATTTTTTCCGGCAAAACCCCCCAAAAAACGTGCCTCGTGCATTTGAAAGGCCTTCCTATCTGTTCAATTTTGTTTTGTTCTTAGTTTGTGTTTTGGTGTGTTTTGTGGGAATATCTAAAAGTTTTGAGGAGGCAGGCGATTATTTGAGACTGCATGTAGTTTTGACGGTTTTGTGAGAAAACTTTTGATGTCCCAGTGGCGGATCCAGGTAACGTCTACGGGTACAGTTGCATTCCTGTAAATTTAGAAATTGCATATTAGTTCAAAATAATATCTATAATGCCCCCCCCCCCCTAGAACCCTTTTAATTGCACCCCCATCCTACTTACTATGCTGTTATATGAAATAAGGTGTGTAATAAGATAGTTGCAAATAGAATTAGCTCATTTAACGTTTCAACAATCAACATAATGTTATAAGATAGGCCCAAACGCTAAAGACCACTATAGTCACATAATGTTATATTTTTATTTTTAGTTAAACGGATGTTTGTTGTTCGCCCCTCTTAAGGAAGTTTTTCTAGATCCGCCATTATTTGGGGAGATTTAGGGTTTGTAGGGTATGAAGAGGGGAGGCAATGCAGGATAAGGTGCAATTAAGGATATATCACTATAAAAAAAACTTTGTAAGTTGTAACTTTTACAATTGCATGCATTTAATAACATTTTCTAAATGTTGTTATTTGGGGCACCAAGATTTTTTTTTAAAATGTTGGTATGGCAAGTGTGGGCATTAGATGTTTGCATCTTGTTAAAAAAGTTGACACTGCATAAAAGAATCATTTACTCTTTTAAACAATTAGTTAATAGGTAATTTACTCTTTTAAAGCATGTAAAATCTAATTGCTTATCCGATGTGGGATTAATATGGGGAAGAGTCTTTTATAAGGAATCTTGCAATTAGGATTCCCAAAAGTTTTGGACAAAAATGTTGGCAATTCTCAACGTTTTCTCAACATTGGTAAATATCAACATTTGAAACAAATGTAGGTAGTTTAAGTGTTGTTATCTCCAATATTTTATGTAGTCTATATTTAGTGAAGGATATATTTTTTGTGCTTGTTACTTAGTTGGAAACTTGGAGGGAGGATGATGGGAGCTGCATGACCTTTTCTTGTTTGATTGATGGGATGAAAAGGAGAGTTGAGGTAATGGGTTAGTTAAAATACAATGATATCTTTTGTGAGAAAATTTCTAGAACCATATTAATAAGATCTGCTATGATTTATCATAACAGAAGAGAAAAGAAATCGAAGAAAGAAAATATTCAGTTTTCCTATTATTTATCAAAATAAAAGTGTAAATAAATAAAAGGAAAAAATTAAGTTCAACTCAGTG